ACAGTGCCTGTGCGGTCCTGTGCTGCCCGAAGTGAGCGCATTCGGCTAACGGCAGGTGGTTGCGAATGGCTAAGCGGGCAGCAGCGTCGCGAGAAAGCCACTGTGAGCGAGTCGCACCGTCAGTTGTGGTGGGAGGGGCAGTAGCGGCACCGGACACGTGGTCAAACAGGGAAACAACGTCCTTAATATCGCTCAGGAGGTACAGATGCAGGTCGTCGAGCCACGTGTCAAACTGAACCGGTCTACCCTCATGGTCGAAAGCTAGAACTCGAAGCGAGGCCATAGCTGTGCAGTCAGCAGGAGCAGCAGAAACAGCAGGAGCAGCAGCGGTAGTGGTTGTAGTAGTAGCAGTAGTAGAGACAGTAAGGAGAAGGGTGGGCCGAGGGGCCTGGGGCCTAGGGGTCAACGGGGCTGGGCGCGGGGCTAGGGGTCGATGGGGCCGGGCGCGGGGCTAGGGGTCGACGGGGGCCGGGGCGCGAGCTAAGGTTGACGGGGGCCGGGGCGCGGGCTAGGGTCGACGAGGGCCGGACGCGGGGCTAGGGGTCGACGGGGGGGCCTGGGCGCGGGCTAGGGTCGACGAGGGCCGGGGCGCGGGCTAGGGTCGACGGGGGCCGGGGCGCGGGCTAGGGTCGACGGGGGCGGGGCGCGGGGCTAGGGGTCGACGGGGGCCGGGGCGCGGGCTAGGGTCGACAGAGGTCGGGGCGCGGGCTAGGGTCGACGAGGGCCGGGCGCGGGACTAGGGGTCGACGAGGGGGGGCGAGGCGCAGGCTAGAGTCGACGGGGGCCGGGGCGCGGGCTAGGGTCGACGTGGGGCCTGGGCGCGGGCTATGGTCGACGGGGGCCTGGCGCGGGGCTAGGGGTCGACGGGGGCCGTGGCGCGGGCTAGGGTCGACGGGGGGCCGGGGCGCGGGCTAGGGTCGACGGGGGCCGGGCGCGGAGCTAGGGGTCGACGGGGGGCCGGGGCGCGGGCTAGGGTCGACGGGGGCCTGGGCGCGGGCTAGGGTCGACGGGGGCCTGGGCGCGGGCTAGGGTCGACGGGGGCCAAGCGCGGGGCTAGGGGTCGACGGGGGGCCGGGGCGCGGGCTAGGGTCGACGGGGGCCGGGGCGCGGGCTAGGGTCGACGGGAGCCAGGCGCGGGGCTAGGGGTCGACGGGGGCCGGGGCACGGGCTAGGGTCGACGGGGGCCGGGGCGCGGGCTAGGGTCGACGGGGGCCAGGCGTGGGGCTAGGGGTCGACAGGGCCGTGGCGCGGGCTAGGGGTCGACGTACCTAGGGGCGACGGGCCTAGGGGCGACACGAGGGTCGCTAGCAGCAGTTCAGTGGTGGGCCTAAGAAAACCGGTCCTAACGGAGGACCTGCTCTGAAACCATGTCAAAATAACGAACGAGAATGAATGAACTAGCAAAGAGTTGGGTACAAGTACTAACCCTAATTGGGTTGTACCCCTTATGGTCTACCCCACTATAGCCTACACAAATGTAAGCTATATATAAGTTTGACATTGTTTGGCCTCGCCCTCGCTTGGGTGGGGCCGACTTCGTGGTCGGGTGTGCGGGGAATGCAGCCGACCTGAAGTAGTGGACACGGGGGGCACTCCATGGGCGCCGAGCTGGAGGGCGCCGAGTAGGAGGACACTGTCCTGGGGATCTGGATGGCGTCCTGGACGCCTGGACGGCGCCCTGGGAGGCTGGACACCGACCTGGGCGTCTGGTCGTCGTCCTGGGCGCCTGTACGGCGTCCTTGGAGGCTGGACGCCGACCTGGGTGTCTGGTCGGCGTCCCGGCTGAACGCCGACCTGGGCGTCCGGATGGCGTCTCAGGCGCCTGGACGCCAACCTAGGCGTTCGGACGCCGACATGGGCGTCTGCACGGCCTCCTGGGCACGGCCTCCCGGCCTCCCAGACGCCCAGGTCGGCGTCCTGGGCGCCTAGACGCCGGACTGAGGTCGACGTGGCTGGTGGGCGCATTCGCTGGCGTGGAATCGACCTGGGCGTCTGCACTGTGCACGTGACGAGGAGTGATGCACCAACCAGTTGCACGCACCTGTGAAGCAGGTGCACCGTTGTCCTACGGGTGCAACGCTGTGCAGCCAACTTGCTGCAGCGCTGGCACACCATGGACCTGCAACGTTGGCGAATCGCTACACTGCAAAGCTAGAGCGGTGCGAGCTTTGCTGCGCTGGATCGCGGTCGACCATGCTGCGGTGGAGGTCGACCATGCTGCGGTGAAGGTCGACCATGCTGCGCTGGAGGTCGACCATGCTGCGGTGGAGGTCGACCATGCTGCGCTGGAGGTCGACCATGCTGCGCTGGAGGTCGACCATGCTGCGGTGGAGGTCGACCATGCTGCGCTGGAGGTCGACCATGCTGCGCTGGAGGTCGACCATGCTGCGCTGGAGGTCGACCATGCTGCGCTGGAGGTCGACCATGCTGCGCTGGAGGTCGACCAACAGCCTAGCTAGCTCTGATGTAGTCTGTGTTGCCAATGTTGTTGTAATCATTGTTGTCAACTTTTCCTAGTAAAACTCTTGCCAATTCTCCTCGTGAACTAGCAAGTAGTGTGTGCACAAGGAAACGACTAAGTGAACGAACGCAGAGATCACTCTTGCCCCGTGCCTAGCCCATAGCCTAGCTCCCGTTGTGTTAGAATATATCTGTAACTGCCTGTAGCTGTAGTTAGTGTAGTTATTATAAACTTGTTGGTGGTGCACATTCTTTGCATTCTATGTTTGCTATATGTACCCTAGTGCTATAGTGAACTTCATTCTCGTCTCTCTCCGCTTGGCACAAACCACCTCGACTCCCCTTGGCCTAGGCTACTAAGCCTAGGCCCTACTCTTTCTATTCAACATGGTATTCAGAGCAGGCACCTTCCTGCTGCCTTCCTTAACGGGCCCACCAGTTTGCTTCCGCTACATGTCGTCCTGCCGCGCGCCTCGGGCGCGCGGCGATTTTCTGCCCGCCGTGTGCTCGGGGCGCACGGCGGTTTTCTGCCCGCCGTGCGCCCCGGGCGCGCGGCGTCTGCCTGCCTGCCTGCCTGCCTGCCCGTCGTGCGCCCCGTGGCGCGCGACGGTGCCCTGAGCCGCCGCGGACCCGCCCCTGGCGCCCGCGACGGTGGCCTGAGCCGCCGCGGACCCGCCCCTGGCGCCCGCGACGGTGCCCTGAGCCGCCGCGGACCCGCCCCTGGCGCCCGCGACGGTGCCCTGAGCCGCCGCGGACCCGCCCCTGGCGCCCGCGACGGTGCCCTAAGAAGCTGCGGACCTGCCCCTGGCGCCCGCGACGGCGCCTCTGCCTCACCCGCGCCTGCCCTCGGAGCAGCCGCCCCTGCCTCACATGCGCCTGCACTTGGTGCAGCCGCCCCTGCTCTACCCGCGCCTGCCCTCGGTGCAGCCGCCCCTGTCCTTCACGCACCTGCCCTCCGTGCAGCCGCCCCTGCCCTTCCCTGTGCGCCACCCCTCTGTGGCCGTGGGGCGGCTTCTTCCCCGCCCACCCCTCCCCCCCCCCCCCCCCCCCTCCTCCTTCTTCTCCCTGCTGCGCGTGCAGCCGTGGGGGGGAGGGTATGGAGGTGGCGGGTATGGGGGTGATGGGTGGTGTGTTTCCCTTCCCCTCCTCCTCCTTTCGTTCCCACTGCTGCAGCTGCCGCTGGGGGGAGGGTGTGAGGGTGTGGGGGAGCCAGGGGAGTGGCATTGGGGTGGCGGGTGTGAGACATCCAGCCCCCGTCCCTCTGAGGTGGGGGGGGGGGAGGAGAGTAAAGGGGTGGCAGGAGTGCCTGCCCCTTTGCTGCTGTACCTGCTTTGTTACCTTGCCTGCTGTTGCTGTTTTCTCAGTTCGTGGTGTACCCATCCAGGATGTGTCGCTGCATAGACTCCTGCTGCAGGCAGTTATGGGGGAGTGTTAGAATATATCTGTAACTGCCTGTAGCTGTAGTTATTGTAGTTATTATAAACTTGTTGGTGGTGCACATTCTTTGCATCCTATGTTTGCTATATGTACCCTAGTGCTATAGTGAACGTCATTCTCGTCTCTCTCCGCTTGGCACAAACCACCTCGACTCCCCTTGGCCTAGGCTACTAAGCCTAAGCCCTACTCTTTCTATTCAACACGTTGTACTAGTTATCTCCGCAAAGGTGAGGAAGCATCGTATTAAAGTTCGAAAGTGTGATGTCACCTGAGCCAGAAGCGAACAATTTTCTTAGGTCTGGCGAGAAGATTCTGACAGAAAATAAGACCCGTCAGCCTTAGCTTCGCCAAGAAAACTGGGTGTAAATGCAAAGCAAGTAACAAGAGATGTAGCCCATAAAAACAGGCAAAGCGCCAGATCGAATCAAGACCGTTGATTGGAATTATGAACGAAATTATTGGTTTTTCTTGTTGGTGAATCTCGCAAGCCTGTATTATTTGAAAACCGTGTCGTTCATTTCACGGGCGAATTGGAGTAGACCCTTTTACACCACAGTTTTTCTGTTCCTTGCCCAAAGCGATGCCCCAAAAAAGGTGGTATGCAAATGGGGCGGACATGGAGTTCGAATTTGCATGGAGCTTGATGGTGTGTACTCACTTGAGTGGCCTGATCCTTCAGCCACCAAATTCCATCATATTTAAAGGTTGATCGTCATATCGGGCCAATAAAAGCGCACCATGGTGTTGCCTAGCGCATACATCGGACAACTCACATCACCATCAAAGGAGCTCTACTTCATGTATCTCGCCACCCGTGGGGCTCGAACCCACGACCACAAGGTTAAGAGCCTTGCGCTCTACCAACTGTGCTAGGGCGGCTGTCCCGGAAATTGAGGCAAAAAATAACACCAGAAAAATTTGCGTCCCTGCTTTTTTCTTCCACGTGAAAGCATGGTGATATTGTGTTCTTGCGATCACTTGGTCAACTTCGCAGCCAGTTATACCGTAAGATACCAGTAGCTGTCTATTGGCACACGTAACATGGCATTACATAACCGTAAGTTACACATACAATTTATGACAGGAAACCAAGGAGCTTGTATTTAGGTTGGTGTACATAAGAGCTCATAAACCCGCTTACTGATGGCAGCACCAACAGCCTTTCCCTTCACATGCACACCACACAGCAGTCGTTCATGTGCCTCCCGGTTTCCCTCCTGCCCATGCAGGTGAGAAAGAGAGATTAGGGAGAGGGAGAAAGGGTGAGACAGGGAGGTGAGTGAGCGGGAGGGAGAGAGGGTGAGATAGGGAGGTGAGCGGGAGGGAGAGAGGGTGAGATAGGGAGGTGAGCGGGAGGTAGAGAGAGTGAGACAGAGAGGGGAGAAGAGAGAGATGCAGAGAGATGAAGAGAGAGCAGGTGTGCAGGTGAGTTAGACGGTGGCAGGCGAGGGGGGAGTGGGTAAGATGGTGAGTACAGGACGACCTGAGGAGGGTGTCTCAGGATATAGACACATGCCTTAATCTATTCCAAAGGTTGGAGAGTGGGGAAATGTGACTGTATAGGAACAAGGAGAAGATAAGCAACTGTACAAAGCGTATTTTGGGTTTTATGTTACTGTAGCCGGGTAGTCAAATAGGAAATCGTGAAGCAGGCAAGGGAAGGGAACGGCGGACGCACGAGAAAGGTGTAGGCAGCGTGGAGGGCGGGCAGGGAGGGGTAGCGGCGGAGGATGGCAGTAGCCATATCCACCGTGAGGCCGCGCACCTGATCGCATGCGGGGAAGATGGCGCAAAAAAAGAGGGGAACGTGGGGAATGAGGAGAAAGAGGGAATGTGTGCAGGTGTGCGCAGTGCAGGTGTGTGTGTACACCCACGTGACACTTTCTTCTTGAGCAATGCAAAAACAAGCTGCAAGACGTGTTGAATCAACTTAAATCCCACTTGCGAGAGCCTGTAAGATGACATTTGAGTCAACTCACAAATCACCAAGTTGCAAGAGCACCTGCAGCAACTCACCTGCAGCAACTCACCTGCAGCAGCATGTAACAGCAATGTACCTTTGAGGTGCCACAATACTCACCTGCAGCAGCATGTAACAGCAATGTACCTTTGAGGTGCCACAATACTCACCTGCAGCAGCATGTAACAGCAATGTACCTTTGAGGTGCCTCAAAACCCACCTGCAGCAGCATGTGGCCGAAGACATCCCCCACGGAGAGAGCCTGTGAGGAGCGGCACTCATCCAGAAACTGGTCAAAGGTGACGCAGCAGTCGCGATGCAGGAGGGAGGGTGTTGTAGCATGGAGTGTGGAAGGTGAGCAGCGGAGGGTGGTGGAGCGGTCATTGCAGCTATCAGCGGTGGAGAGGCGGTTGCAGATGTCAGCGATGGCCCGAGTGAGATGGGCGTAATGGCGGCGGGTGTGTGCGATGCACGTGGTGTGATGCACGTCAAAGCCATCATGCACTAGAGTTTGGACGGACCTGATGGTATGTATGGGCGAAGTGAAAGGGCAGGGGGTATGAGGCACGAAGGTAGGAGAGAATGGGTATCGATGCACGTGGTGTGATGCACGTCAAAGCCATCGTGGACTAGGGTCTGGACGGACCTGGTGGTGTGGCAAAGGGAAGAGGGGATGCAAGGGGAAGAGGAAAGTAAGACACAGAGTGGGGGCAATGCATGGGATGTGAACGGGAGGAGGGCAAGGGACGAGAAAGAGAGGGAAAGGGCATTGTGTGTGGCGCATGTGGTGTGGTTCATGCTGAAACCGCGATGAACACAATGAGAACATCAGGCGACTGTCCGCCACAAATGCCGATTAACTCTTTCCATGCTTCTTGACTGCTCCTAATTTAATCAAATTCCCCTCTAACGAAAATAGTCAGGGAAGACAGAAATCATCCCAAACGAGTTTCGAGTCGCCTTAAAACGAACAACTCCAATGTGAGCTGAAACTGGCCGCTATGCTAGCAAGCAAATCAACTCGAAAGTCACCTTGATGTGGTCGGAAAGTGATGAGTTGCTGGAGTGGGAGACGCTGGGGGAAATTCTCAACCGCAAATACCAAAGGTGACATAATGAGATGGGGAGTTGGTGATAACATATGCCATTCAGGGATACTACAAACGGTGACATAACACACAAAGGGTGAGATGGAGAAAGAGACAACGTACGCCGTGCGCAGGCTCTCCGCGCCATTGCTGGCGTCCAGATTGCCCTCCACTACGTAGATTGGGCGGCGAAGACCGCAGTGCTGAGACGGGGATAGGGATGGGGAGAAAGGTGCAAGGGAAAATAGAGAAGGAAGCATCAGATACGAGCATAACAAGGATGCGGTGCTGAGATGAGACGGGACAGAAAATAGTGAGCAGGGAGGATGGGACGCCGTTTCGAAGGCTTCTTACGACGTTTTGGCAGATTGACTAACTACTGATCGCACACATGCTTTCTCTCACACACATGCTCACTTGCAGGCACGCACACTGTCCCTCCCTCCCTCGCTCTCCACACCTCATAACTGTAAGGCGTACCCACCTTGATCCTCTGCTTCTGGTCTCTTCCAAGTCAACCCACCTTGATCCTCAGTTTCTGGTCCTTGAATCGCTTTGACTTGATTGACTGCCACAAATCGTCCACTCTCTTGCGCTCCGCTACCCACTCCAAGCAGAACAGAGAGCCGGGCAGTGCAGGAGACGCGGAAGCAGCAGGGAGAGCGGATGGGGGGACAGCAGAGGAGGAGGACGGCGGGATGGAAGAGGGAGGACAGGAGGAGGAAGAGGAGGTGGAGGGAGGTGTGGCGGATGAGGTGGGAGGAGTGAGGGGCTGAGCCACCCAGAGGGCATCGCCCACAGGCAGTGCTGCGACCTGATGGTAGCATTCGGGAGCGGGGAAGGTGGGGAAGGGGCTTCTGAGAAATCCGAAAAGGAGTGGATTGGAAAGAGGGTGTGTTGGAAGGGCGAGGGGCTGAGCCACCTAAAAGACATCTCACACAGGCAGTGCTGCGGCCTGATGGTGATGGCAGCAGGCAGGAGCCACGATGGAGAGGGATGGGGCTTTTGAGAACTTTCAGATAAGGGTGGTGGGAGGTGCAGTGAATGAGGGTGAGGGTGAGGTGAGGGCTGAGCCACCCAGAGGACGTCGCCCACAGGCAGAGATGCGACCTGGTGGTGATGGCAACAGGTGGGAGTGGGGTTAGGCGGGTCATGAATCAGATTGAGGAAGGGCAGAGTGTGCGGGCGGAGGGCAGGAATGGTTAGGGCGAGAGAGTAGGGCGTGGGGGTAGGGCGTGAGGTGGGAGGGCGTGAGCGTGTGCAGCTTTTGAGGGTTTAGGGTTTGGAAACAGTATCCAATATAGACTCGTAAAGATATGTGGGCAGGAGCACAGTAGATATGAAGGGAGTACAGCATTTACTCGGCCTGTTACGAACAAACACTAGCAGAGCGGCAAAGCCCACTAGCAGAGTGGCAAAGCCTACTAGCAGAACGGCAAAGCCCACTAGCAGAGCAGCAAAACCCACTAGCAGAGCGGCAAAGCCCGCAAAGCCCACTAGCAGAGTGGCAAAGCCCACTAGCAGAGCGGCAAAGCCCACTAGCAGAGCGGCAAAGCCCACTAGCACAGCGGCAAAGCCCACTAGCAGAGCGCAGTGGCGAGGCACAGAGGCAAGGCGAGGCAGCGAGGCAAGGTACCTGCGCAGGAAGCTTTTCCACTCTGGTCAGGAATTCCGTGAGCTGTGCTGCCCTGTGGGGGGGACCAATGGAGAGAGAGGGGAGAGAGAAATGCTGTGAGCTGAGCTGCCCTGTGGGGAAGATGGAGGGTGAGGGCCGAGAGAAATGCTGTGAGCTGAGCTGCCCTGTGGCTAAGATGGAGGGTGAGGGCCGAGAGAAATGCTGTGAGCTGAGCTGCCCTGTGGGGAAGATGGAGGGTGAGGACCGAGAGAAATGCTGTGAGCTGAGCTGCCCTGTGGGGAAGATGGAGGGTGAGGGCCGAGAGAAATGCTGTGAGCTGAGCTGCCCTGTGGGGAAGATGGAGGGTGAGGGCCGAGAGAAATGCTGTGAGCTGGACTGCCTGGTTGGCCATATGAGCATGCAGAGAGGGAGTGAGGAGAAAGGTAAGGAGAGAAGATGGGAGTGGAAGGGGGGGGAGAAGATGACAAGGAGTTGAGGAAAGGGAAGACTGTTGAGCTTACAATGATGAAGGACCGAAGGGGGAAGAAAGGAAGAGTGAGAGTCTTCAAATACGGCTGCACTGATCTACTCCATCAATTTTCACCAGCTCTCACCCCGTCCCACCCCTCCTCACCCCTTCTCCACGTTGTAAGTCAGACAAACCACTCAGCATGTGCCACAAAACTGCTATCCTCAGCACGTGCTTCTGCATACACCCAACCCCACTCCATTCCACCCCTCAGCACCCATTCTTACCCCTCCTCACCCCTCCTCACCCCTTCTCCCGGCTGTCAATCAGCAGCACCACGCGGTACGCATCACAGAAGCGCTGCCCCTTCGCCAGCGGGGGCAGGCGAATGTCAACCGTCTCCACGAGTGAGAGGCAGGTGGGTGATGATGATGGGAGGAGCAAGGGTGGCGATGGCAGGTAGGTGGGGAGTGGTGAGAGGTGGGTGGACTGTGAATGAGAAAGGGGTGGTGCTGCAGAGGAATCGCGGCAGTCAAGGAGTGGTGCACGGGTGTAGGGGCAAGCAGTGTGAGAGAAGAGAGGGAAAGGCAAAGGAGAAAATTCTGAGACGGAAAATGTGGATGAAGTGATTGCAAACAAACACCACTCAGCGTGGATGCTTGCACGTACCATTCACTCCAAGCATGCACGTACCATTCACTCCAAGCATAAACCCTAAACCCTAAAGCACGTACCATTCACTGCACGCAGCGATGTCAGAAATGCTGAGGCTTCGCTTCCCAGCACTGCCTCTCCCTCTCCTGCTGCTGCTGCTTCTCCTACCGCTGCTGCTGCTATTGGTGCTTGTGCTCTTCTTTTCCTTGCTGCTGGCACACTCACTGCTGCTTCTGCGACTGCTACTGCGTCTCGGGCTGCTACAGCTGCTACAGTTGTGCCACCATCGGCAGCACTGCATGCTTGCCGCTTTCGACCCCTCCCTCCTCTCCCACCTGTTGTGAATCCTGCCTCCTGCCTCCAAATATTGGGTCTATCTTCTTGCTCCTCTGCTGTCTGCGTGCAATGCATGTACACATGAGTGAAGGGGTTGAGAGGAATGGAGACGAGAGTGGGGAGAGCAACGAGTAGAGTGCATGGACACCTTTTAGATGTGAGAGCAACTTTGGTGCTAGCTGGCTAGCACGAGCTGCATGACGTTGACTTCAAGTGATCGCGCAAAGAGGAAGGGATGAGGAAGGGAGGAAGAAATGGAATGAGGCAGAAGGGAGGAAGGGAGGGGCACGACGCACACAGAGCAGCAAGGGTGGGCTAGGGAATGGAAGACAGCAGGCATGGGAGGAAGAAAGCAGGCATGGGAGGAAGAAAGCAGGCATGGGAGGAAGAAAGCAGGCATGGGAGGAAGAAAGCAGGCATGGGAGGAAGAAAGCAGGCATGGGAGGAAGAAAGCAGGCATGGGAGGAAGAAAGCAGGCATGGGAGGAAGAAAGCAGGCATGGGAGGAAGAAAGCAGGCATGGGAGGAAGAAAGCAGGCATGGGAGGAAGAAAGCAGGCATGAGAGGAAGAAAGCAGGCATGGGAGGAAGAAAGCAGGCATGGGAGGAAGCAGGCATGAGGAAGGGGATGCAGGAGGAGGGAGGGGAGGGAGGAACCGAATGCGTATTGAGAGGGAAGAAAAAGTGGGAAATGACAGTGGTTTACCTGGTGGGCGGGTGGATTTAATGGAGGCATAGCTGCTGGTGGAGGGGCGGATGGCAGAGCGGTGGTGGAGGGTGGCAGAGCGGTAGAGGATGGTGGAGCATCTGATGGCTGCACGAGAGGGTCTGGGAGAGAGATGGCAGTTAAGAATGGAAGGAAGGTAGGGTGGTAGAGGCAGGCAGAGAGGAAGGCACCGGTTGATGGTGGGTCGTGGGATTGAGTGGCATGCGAGGCGTGGTGTGGCATGGGGGTGAGGTGGAGAAAGAAGAGGGAAAACGACGGATTTTGAGGGCGAGTATTTGCAAAGCATCAAGCATGGGGCATGAGGTACCGTAAGGGTATGGGGTACCGTATGGGTATGGGGTACCGTATGGGTATGGGGTGTCGTATGGGCATGGGATACCGTATGGGCACGGGGTATCGTATGGGCATGGGGTGTCATATGGGCATGGGGTGTCGTATGGGCATGGGGTATGGGTATGGGAAACTGATGGGCATGGGTTATGGGCATGGGGTATGGGCATGGGGTATGGGCATGGGGTATGGGCATGGGTTATGGGCATGGGTTATGGGCATGGGTTATGGGCATGGGGTATGGGCATGGGGTATGGGCATGGGGTATGGGCATGGGGTATGGGCATGGGGTATGGGCATGGGGTATGGGCATGGGGTATGGGGCATGCACCATTGGGTACGCATCATTGGCAATGGACATGGAGAGGCATGCATGTCTCTGCTGCCCCCTCTCCTACCCCACTCACCCTTCGTCCCACTCACCCCTCTCACCACTCATCCCTCTCCCCACTCACCCCTCTCCCCCTTCATCCCTCTCCCCACACACACCTGCCTGCAGCCCTGCTCTCTCCATGCACATCTGAGCTGCAGCCACCCCTGCCGGTGTGAGGGAGTAGCTGAGAGATAAGATAATCAGCACAGAGGACGCAGAGGCAGGAGTCGCAGAGAGGGGTGAGGGGAGGGGATATGTAGTGAGGGGAAGGTGGGTAGTGGGGGGCTGAGGAGGGAAGTGGGCGGGGAATCAGCAGGGAAGCACGGGGAAGCATGGGGGGGTATAGGGCATCGGGTGGCATCGGGCTGCATCGGGTGGCATCGGGCGGCATCGGGTGGCATCGGGCGGCATCGGGCGGCATCGGGTGGCATCGGGCGGCATGAGGGCAGGAAGTGATGAAGCACATGAGCAAAGCAGCGCTCTTACAGAGCAGGGCGAAGGCAGCAGCACTCTCACAGCAGCAGCACATGCACCGGCGGCGTTGCCAGTCCACCAGCGCGTGCTGCCTGAGCGTGGTGAGTGCACTCCAGCCGCATTAGAAGTCGTGTATCGCACCAGCGGACACATAGGGATGCGCGTGACCAACGCAACGCTCTTACAGGGCAGGGCGGGCAGCACCCAACACACTCACAGGGATGGGCGTCCTTTCTGCCAGTCCACCAGCGCATGCTGCCTGAGCGTAGTGAGAGCACTCCAGCCGCAGTAGAAGTTGTGCCCCACGTGGGCGAAGGACTGGCACGGCACACCCCGACGCAGAATGGATGGGCTTTTGGGGGCCACAGGGCGAGAGAGGAGCGGCACGAGAGAAGAGGGAAGAATCAAAAGAGAAGAGATGGAAGGGATGGCGGCAGCAAGGAGCTAGCATTCAAGCTGTTTTTTGTCATGATAAACATGAGCTACGACAAAACAGAGCATGACAGGTTGTGATGTCGCCCTAATGCTACCAATTCTGCCATCAACTCTGTCACCACATACGTAGTCCCATGATACTAAACACATACATTCATGCCATGTGGCAGGTACTCCATGCCACACACATGCCATGCATCAGATCGTTGCATGCCCATGCCCCTCTCTCTCACCACATATCCTCACCTCTCCCACCGCGTGCAACCCCTCCCCCCCGCCTTCTCTCTCACCGCGTGCAACCCCTCCCCCCCGCCTTCTCTCTCACCGCGTGCAACCCCTCCCCCCCGCCTTCTCTCTCACCGCGTGCAACCCCTCCCCCCCGCCTTCTCTCTCACCGCGTGCAGCCACCCCCTCCCTCACGGACCGCATGTTGGTGTCTTTGAGTCCAGTGGCCTCCACTGCTGCTACCAGCTGCCGTTGAGAATTCCGAAAAATCACCCCATGCCCCCCTTCTCACCCCATGCCCCCCTTCTCACCCCATGCCCCCCTTCTCACCCCATGCCCCCCTTCTCACCCCATGCCCCCCTTCTTCTCACCCCATGCCCCCCTTCTCACCCCATGCCCCCCTTCTCACCCCATGCCCGCCTTCTCACCCCATGCCCGCCTTCTCATCCCATGCCCGCCTTCTCACCCCATGCCCGCCTTCTCACCCCATGCCCGCCTTCTCACCCCATGCCCGCCTTCTCACCCCATGCCCCCCTTCTCACCCCATGCCCGCCTTCTCACCCCATGCCCGCCTTCTCACCCCATGCCCGCCTTCTCACCCCATGCCCGCCTTCTCACCCCATGCCCGCCTTCTCACCCCATGCCCGCCTTCTCACCCCATGCCGCCTTCTCACCCCATGCCCGCCTTCTCACCCCATGCCCGCCTTCTCACCCCATTCCCGCCTTCTCACCCCATGCCCGCCTTCTCACCCCATGCCCCCCTTCTCACCCCATGCTCGCCTTCTCACCCCATGCCCGCCTTCTCACCCCATGCCCGCCTTCTCACCCCATGCCCGCCTTCTCACCCCATGCCCGCCTTCTCACCCCATGCCCGCCTTCTCATCCCATGCCCGCCTTCTCACCCCATGCCCGCCTTCTCACCCCATGCCCGCCTTCTCACCCCATGCCCGCCTTCTCACCCCATGCCCGCCTTCTCACCCCATGCCCGCCTTCTCACCCCATGCCCGCCTTCTCACCCCATGCCCGCCTTCTCACCCCATGCCCGCCTTCTCATCCCATGCCCGCCTTCTCACCCCATGCCCGCCTTCTCACCCCATGCCCGCCTTCTCACCCCATGCCCGCCTTCTCACCCCATGCCCGCCTTCTCACCCCATGCCCGCCTTCTCACCCCATGCCCGCCTTCTCACCCCATGCCCCCCTTCTCACCCCATGCCCGCCTTCTCACCCCATGCCCGCCTTCTCACCCCATGCCCGCCTTCTCACCCCATGCCCGCCTTCTCACCCCATGCCCGCCTTCTCATCCCATGCCCGCCTTCTCACCCCATGCCCGCCTTCTCACCCCATGCCCGCCTTCTCACCCCATGCCCGCCTTCTCACCCCATGCCCGCCTTCTCACCCCATGCCCGCCTTCTCACCCCATGCCCGCCTTCTCACCCCATGCCCCCCTTCTCACCCCATGCCCGCCTTCTCACCCAATGCCCGCCTTCTCACCCCATGCCCGCCTTCTCACCCCATGCCCCCCTTCTCACCCCATGCCCCCCTTCTCACCCCATACCCCCCTTCTCACCCCATGCCCGCCTTCTCACCCCATGCCCCCCTTCTCACCCCATGCCCGCCTTCTCACCCCATGCCCCCCTTCTCACCCCATGCCCGCCTTCTCACCCCATGCCCCCCTTCTCACCCCATTCCCCCCTTCTCACCCCATGCCCCCCTTCTCACCCCATGCCCCCCTTCTCACCCCATGCCCCCCTTCTCACCCCATGCCCCCCTTCTCACCCCATGCCCCCCTTCTCACTGCATGCAATCCCCCCTTCTAACTGCATGCAATCCCCCTTTCTCACTGCATGCAATCCCCCCTTCTCACCCCATGCCCGCCTTCTCACCCCATGCCCCCCTTCTCACCCCATGCCCGCCTTCTCACCCCATGCCCGCCTTCTGACCCCCTGCCCGCCTTCTCACCCCATGCCCGCCTTCTCACCCCATGCCCGCCTTCTCACCCCATGCCCCCCTTCTCACCCCATGCCCCCCTTCTCACCCCATGCCCCCCTTCTCACCCCATGCCCCCCTTCTCACCCCATGCCCCCCTTCTCACCCCATGCCCCCCTTCTCACCCCATGCCCGCCTTCTCACCCCATGCCCGCCTTCTCACCCCATGCCCGCCTTCTCACCCCATGCCCGCCTTCTCACCCCATGCCCGCCATCTCACCCCATGCCCCCCTTCTCACCCCATGCCCGCCTTCTCACCCCATGCCCCCCTTCTCACCCCATTCCCCCCTTCTCACCCCATGCCCCCCTTCTCACCCCATGCCCCCCTTCTCACCCCATGCCCAGGGGGATTGCATGCAGTGAGAAGGGGGGATTGCATGCAGTGAGAAGGGGGGATTGCATGCAGTGAGAAGGGGGGATTGCATGCAGTGAGAAGGGGGGATTGCATGCAGTGAGAAGGGGGGATTGCATGCAGTGAGAAGGGGGGATTGCATGCAGTGAGAAGGGGGGATTGCATGCAGTGAGAAGGGGGGATTGCATGCAGTGAGAAGGGGGGATTGCATGCAGTGAGAAGGGGGGATTGCATGCAGTGAGAAGGGGGGATTGCATGGAGTGAGAAGGGGGGATTGCATGCAGTGAGAAGGGGGGATTGCATGCAGTGAGAAGGGGGGATTGCATGCAGTGAGAAGGGGGGATTGCATGCAGTGAGAAGGGGGGATTGCATGCAGTGAGAAGGGGGGGATTGCATGCAGTGAGAAGGGGGGATTGCATGCAGTGAGAAGGGGGGATTGCATGGAGTGAGAAGGGGGGATTGCATGCAGTGAGAAGGGGGGATTGCATGCAGTGAGAAGGGGGGATTGCATGCAGTGAGAAGGGGGGATTGCATGCAGTGAGAAGGGGGGATTGCATGCAGTGAGAAGGGGGGATTGCATGCAGTGAGAAGGGGGGATTGCATGCAGTGAGAAGGGGGAATTGCATGCAGTGACAAGGGGGGCTTGCATGCAGTGAGAAGGGGGGATTGCATGCAGTGAGAAGGGGGGATTGCATGCAGTGAGAAGGGGGGATTGCATGCAGTGAGAAGGGGGGATTGCATGCAGTGAGAAGGGGAGCATGGGGTGAGAAGGGGGGATTGCATGCAGTGAGAAGGGGGGATTGCATGCAGTGAGAAGGGGGGATTGCATGGAGTGAGAAGGGGGGATTGCATGCAGTGAGAAGGGGGGATTGCATTCAGTGAGAAGGGGGGATTGCATGGAGTGAGAAGGGGGGATTGCATGCAGTGAGAAGGGGGGATTGCATGCAGTGAGAAGGGGGGATTGCATGCAGTGAGAAGGGGGGATTGCATGCAGTGAGAAGGGGGGATTGCATGCAGTGAGAAGGGGGGATTGCATGCAGTGAGAAGGGGGATTGCATGCAGTGAGAAGGGGGAATTGCATGCAGTGACAAGGGGGGCTTGCATGCAGTGAGAAGGGGGGATTGCATGCAGTGAGAAGGGGGGATTGCATGCAGTGAGAAGGGGGGATTGCATGCAGTGAGAAGGGAGGATTGCATGCAGTGAGAAGGGGAGCATGGGGTGAGAAGGGGGGATTGCATGCAGTGAGAAGGGGGGATTGCATGCAGTGAGAAGGGGGGATTGCATGGAGTGAGAAGGGGGGATTGCATGCAGTGAGAAGGGGGGATTGCATTCAGTGAGAAGGGGGGATTGCATGGAGTGAGAAGGGGGGATTGCATGCAGTGAGAAGGGGGGATTGCATGGAGTGAGAAGGGGGGATTGCATGCAGTGAGAAGGGGGGATTGCATGCAGTGAGAAGGGGGGATTGCATGCAGTGAGAAGGGGGGATTGCATGCAGTGAGAAGGGGGGATTGCATGCAGTGAGAAGGGGGGATTGCATGCAGTGAGAAGGGGGGATTGCATGCAGTGAGAAGGGGGGCATGGGGTGAGAAGGGGGGCATGGGGTGAGAAGAAGGGGGGCATGGGGTGAGAAGGGGGGCATGGGGTGAGAAGGGGGCCATGGGGTGAGAAGGGGGGAATGGGGTGAGAAGGGGGGCATGGGCATGGGGTGAGAAGGCGGGCATGGGGTGAGAAGGGGGGCATGGGGTGAGAAGGCGGGCATGGGGTGAGAAGGGGGGCAGGGGGTCAGAAGGCGGGCATGGGGTGAGAAGGCGGGCATGGGGTGAGAAGGCGGGCATGGGGTGAGAAGGCGGGCATGGGGTGAGAAGGGGGGCATGGGGTGAGAAGGGGGGCATGGGGTGAGAAGGGGGGATTGCATGCAGTAAGAAAGGGGGATTGCATGCAGTTAGAAGGGGGGATTGCATGCAGTGAGAAGGGGGGATTGCATGCAGTGAGAAGGGGGGCATGGGGTGAGAAGGGGGGCATGGGGTGAGAAGGGGGGCATGGGGTGAGAAGGGGGGCATGCAATCCCCCCTTCTCACTGCATGCAATCCCCCCTTCTCACTGCATGCAATCCCCCCTTCTCACTCCATGCAATCCTCCCTTCTCACTGCATGCAATCCCCCCTTCTCACTGCATGCAATCCCCCCTTCTCACTGCATGGAATCCCCCCTTCTCACTGCATGCAATCCCCCCTTCTCACTGCATGCAATCCCCCCTTCTCACTGCATGCAATCCCCCCTTCTCACTGCATGCAATCCCCCCTTCTCACTGCATGCAATCCCCCCTTCTCACTCCATGCAATCCCCCCTTCTCACTGCATGCAATCCCCCCTTCTCACTGCATGCAATCCCCCCTTCTCACTCCATGCAATCCCCCCTTCTCACTGCATGCAATCCCCCCTTCTCACTGCATGCAATCCCCCCTTCTCACTGCATGCAATCCCCCCTTCTCACTGCATGCAATCCCCCCTTCTCACTGCATGCAATCCCCCCTTCTCACTGCATGCAATCCTCCCTTCTCACTGCATGCAATCCCCCCTTCTCACTGCATGCAATCCCCCCTTCTCACTGCATGCAATCCTCCCTTCTCACTGCATGCAATCCCCCCTTCTCACTGCATGCAATCCCCCCTTCTCACTGCATGCAATCCCCCCTTCTCACTGCATGCAATCCCCCCTTCTCACTGCATGCAATCCCCCCTTCTCACTCCATGCAATCCTCCCTTCTCACTGCATGCAATCCCCCCTTCTCACTGCATGCAATCCCCCCTTCTCACTGCATGGAATCCCCCCTTCTCACTGCATGCAATCCCCCCTTCTCACTGCATGCAATCCCCCCTTCTCACTGCATGCAATCCCCCCTTTTCACTGCATGCAATCCCCCCTTCTCACTGCATGCAATCCCCCCTTCTCACTGCATGCAATCCCCCCTTCTCACTGCATGCAATCCCCCCTTCTCACTGCATGCAATCCCTCCTTCTCACTGCATGCAATTCCCCCTTCTCACTGCATGCAATCCCCCCTTCTCACTGCATGCAATCCCCCCTTCTCACTCCATGCAATCCCCCCTTCTCACTGCATGCAATCCCCCCTTCTCACTGCATGCAATCCCCCCTTCTCACTGCATGCAATCCCCCCTTCTCACTGCATGCAATCCCCCCTTCTCACTGCATGCAATCCCCCCTTCTCACTGCATGCAATCCCCCCTTCTCACTGCATGCAATCCCCCCTTCTCACTGCATGCAATCCCCCCTTCTCACTGCATGCAATCCCCCCTTCTCACTGCATGCAATCCCCCCTTCTCACTGCATGCAATCCCCCCTTCTCACTGCATGCAATCCCCCCTTCTCACTGCATGCAATCCCCCCTTCTCACTGCATGCAATCCCCCCTTCTCACTGCATGCAATCCCCCCTTCTCACTGCATGCAATCCCCCCTTCTCACTCCATGCAATCCCCCCTTCTCACTGCATGCAATCCCCCCTTCTCACTGCATGCAATCCCCCCTTCTCACTGCATGCAATCCCCCCTTCTCACTGCATGCAATCCCCCCTTCTCACTGCATGCAATCCCCCCTTCTCACTGCATGCAATCCCCCCTTCTCACTGCATGCAATCCCCCCTTCTCACTGCATGCAATCCCCCCTTCTCACTGCATGCAATCCCCCCTTCTCACTGCATGCAATCCCCCTTTCTCACTGCATGCAATCCCCCCTTCTCACTGCATGCAATCCCCCCTTCTCACTGCATGCAATCCCCCCTTCTCACTGCATGCAATCCCCCTTTCTCACTGCATGCAATCCCCCCTTCTCACTGCATGCAATCCCCCCTTCTCACTGCATGCAATCCCCCCTTCTCACTCCATGCAATCCCCCCTTCTCACTGCATGCAATCCCCCCTTCTCACTGCATGCAATCCCCCCTTCTCACTGCATGCAATCCCCCCTTCTCACTCCATGCAATCCCCCCTTCTCACTGCATGCAATCCCCCCTTGTCACTGCATGCAATCCCCCCTTCTCACTGCATGCAATCCCCCCTTCTCACTGCATGCAATCCCCCCTTCTCACTGCATGCAATCCCCCCTTCTCACTGCATGCAATCCCCCCTTCTCACTGCATGCAATCCCCCCTTCTCACTGCATGCAATCCCCCCTTCTCACTGCATGCAATCCCCCCTTCTCACTGCATGCAATCCCCCCTTCTCACTGCATGCAATCCCCCCTTCTCACTGCATGCAATCCCCCCTTCTCACTGCATGCAATCCCCCCTTCTCACTGCATGCAATCCCCCCTTCTCACTGCATGCAATCCCCCCTTCTCACTGCATGCAATCCCCCCTTCTCACTGCATGCAATCCCCCCTTCTCACTGCATGCAATCCCCCCTTCTCACTCCATGCAATCCTCCCTTCTCACTGCATGCAATCCCCCCTTCTCACTGCATGCAATCCCCCCTTCTCACTGCATGCAATCCCCCCTTCTCACTGCATGCAATCCCCCCTTCTCACTGCATGCAATCCCCCCTTCTCACTGCATGCAATCCCCCCTTCTCACTGCATGCAATCCCCCCTTCTCACTGCATGCAATCCCCCCTTCTCACTGCATGCAATCCCCCCTTCTCACTGCATGCAATCCCCCCTTCTCACTCCATGCAATCCCCCCTTCTCACTGCATGCAATCCCCCCTTCCGCCCCCTTTCACTCACCGCATGTTGGTGTCCGTGAGTCCGCTCCCCTCCACTGCTGCTAGCAGCTGCTCCTTGTTCTTGCCCTGCCCTTGCTGCTGCCCCCTGTGGATAAGAGGTTGGGCGGGAAGAGAGGCAACGGTGGAGGGGAGAGTGGGGGGGGAGGGGGGATCTCCTCTCTTTCCACTGCTGCTACCAGCTGCTCTTTGCTCATGCTGCCCTGCCCCTGCTGCTGCCCCCTGCCCATTCCGAAGAGGGGCAGCAGTGGAGAAGGGAGGTGGGACATGGGGCTTTCTCCTCCAAGCAGAAACGCGCACAGAACAGCGGCGGCGCCTGAGTGGATAATGCTGAGGCCACTGTGAAATGTCGGCGATGAGGCAAAACGAACACCTGAAAAGGCACCTGAGGCACCTGAGAAAGGTATCTGAGGTAGCACCTGAGGAGGCATATCAGCAGCGCGTATGCCGCAGTCCCCTTCCGCGGGAGGTACAGCCCGCCACGCCTCCCCCTCGCCTCGCCCTCCGCTCCTGGCGCCGCCCCGCCATCCTCCTCCGCCCTTCCGCTCCTCGCCGCATCATTCCCCTCGTCCGCCCTTTCTTCTCTCGTCGCCATCACCTCGCGTTCCTCCCCAACGAGTCTGGCAGCTCACCCGCAAATAGAACTCCCCCCCCGGTCTCACTTGCTGTCGGCCAACCTGCGTTGCGTTGCTGTGTGAATCACTTGCATTGCGTTTCTCTCACTCTCGCGCGAAACATCAGTGAATCCGCTCTCCAGCGCTGCTACTAATTCGCGATGAGTGGCCCATGCCGTCGAATATGTGATCGCATGTGCCGTCGCATATGTCGTCGTGAACCTCCTTGGTCGGCATGAGCCTATTCGCTCTCGAATCCGCGATAAGAGTGTTTTCAGAACAGTTGGAGAAGGTTTGGGAGGAGTTTGCGAATCTGTTTAACGACTTTCGCGATATACGGGAATTTCGTCATTGTCATTCTGTTGTGTTCTCTTGGTAGAATGCGACCAGCATGGAATGGTTTTGGTACCGAATAGCCTTTTAAGCAGAAAGTTATTCTTAGCCTAAATTGATGTCTCGAAAATGCTTATTTCCTTGTTTCGTTATTTCCATTATGTTGTGCTGAATCATTGTAAGGAAAAACATTTTTCCTTACTTCGCTTCCCTGCTCAGCAGAGCCTATGTTTGGTTTTTGGCTACTCACGATTAGCAGTGTAGCCTTTTTCAAAACCCTTCTGATCAGTGTGTAATTTTTCGTTACACTGATACATCAGTGTAATATTGAGTTTCGAAAAATTTACCCCAGAGCATCAGTGTAGTATATTTGTGTACCCTTATCGCATAAAACATTTGTAGTAAATTGGGCGCTGGTGGGTGGGGGTTGTGGGGACCTCGAGTCCCAAATTTGGGACTCGTGTCCCCAAACACACGTTTTCGCCGAGTCAGCAAGCTTCCGGGGGGAACGTCGGTTGTCAGTACTCACGTGCTGACGTCGTAGTACATCATTACGAAATTGAGTGTATCGTTACGAAATTTCTATGAAACTTCGTCTCGATGAGTAGAGTTTCGAGGGGGGGGTGCCCTGTGTTGGGCTGAGGAAGCCCTTAGGATCTTTGCAGGACTAAATTCAGAGTAGGAAAATGTAATAGCGGAAGCGTTAAATAAAGACTTATGAACCACCTTGCGCTAGTATGTGAGGGCAAAGTAGATTGATTAATAGCAAGGAGATACAACCTTTTATAAGAATACAAGGGAATATGAAGGGTTATAACTACCGTAATAACCGTTTTACCATTGCTGTTGCGGTTCGATACAGTGACGACTCGGGCAACTGCTCAATAGCGAGTCAGTTGTTTGTCCTTGCTGTCGCGCTGTACTTGTCAGGTCAAAGGTCGCTGACCTTCGACTTTCGCGTAACCTCCAGCAGTTGTTCAACCTCCGAGGGTTGACTCGCTGGTGCTTCGATATGTTCTGCTTCGCTTCTGACTTGGTGTTTCGACACGACAGAGGCGCTTAAAATCAATTGTTTCCAACACTCCCCTTCGCTTCTGGAGTGTCGCTGCTGGTGACGTGGCTCTGTCCAGTCAGCAGCATGCAGTACTCAAACTTCTGTTTTCCGAGTTTCTTGGTCAAGTAATCGGCTGCCATCTCGGACGTGGGACAGTAAGACTGCTCAAGTCTCCCCTTCTCGATCTCGTCCTTCACGAAGAAATATCGCAGGGCGATATGCTTTGTCCTGTTCGCGAATCCGTTTTTGTTGGCTATTCGAATTGCCGACTGGTTGTCGCAGAACAGGGAGAAGCTGGGTAACTGAGCCAGCTTCGCCTCCTCCAGGAGTTCGCGAAGCTACAATCCTTCCTTGGTGGCTGAGCAGAGTGCGATATATTCTGCTTCGGCTGAGGAGAGAGCGATTAATTCCTGCTTACTCGACTGCCACGAGATAGGTCCGATAGGCTCGAGGCGGTAGATGTAGCCTGTGCGCGAGCGCCTGTTGTCAGAATCTCCGGCGTGGTCGGCGTCGACGTAGCCGATTAACTTGGGTGTTATAGTTCTGTTCTTGTAGTAGGTCAGGCCGATCGTTGGAGTGCTAACGAGGTAGTGAAGAGCGCGGTCGAGTTCCGTCATGTTTTCAACTTCAGGCCTTTTGAGGTAGGTGGCGAGTTGACTTGCGGAGTATGATAGGTCCGGGCGGCAGGTGACAGCCGCAAAGAGAAGGCATCCCAGCTTTCTCTGGTAGTCGCGTATGCTGGCGGGCTTTAGTGGAGCGGATCCTTCCTTGTTGTTTCCTGCCGTGTAGCGGTATGGCGTGGAGATGGTAGTTGGCGTGAGTGCGAAGCGTTTGGCGATGGTGTCTGCATATTTTGCGGCGTTGAGGTAGATCGCGCTTTCTCCTTCCTGGATGTTGAGGCCGAGGTACTGCGTGACGGTAGATGAGACTGTGAGCGTGAGGTCTTTCTGTAGCTCCCCTTCGAACCAGGTAGTGACGTTGTCGGTCGACCCGATGTAGAGTAGATCGTCTACGTAGACGATTAGTAGAATATAGTCGTCGCCTTTCGTGAGCCGGTACATGCCTTGGTCGTGCGGTAGCTGTCGGAATCCGATGCGAGTAAGTCGAGCGTGTAGGTACTGCTGCCACAGTCTTGGGGCCTGTTTGATGCCGTACAATGACTTCAGCAGCTGACAGACTTGGTTGGGTTCTCCGTGGGAACCGTGTGGGAGTTCGACGAAGATTTCTGCGTCAACAGGTGCGTAGAGAAATGCGTTGGCGACGTCGTTTTGCCGCAGTTTCTTTTTCTTCATGGCGGCGATCGCACGGAGAATTCGTAGTGAGGTGTGTCGGCTGACCGGGGCGAATGTCTCGGTGAAGTCGCGTCCGTGCTCTTGGTCGAAGCCGCGTACGACCCAGCGCGCCTTAAACTTGTCAATGGTGCCGTCTGCCTTTGTTTTCACACGGAAGACCCACTTCCCGGTGAGTACTGTCTTGTTTCGTGCCACGCCAATAGGGACAACTTTCCAGGTATTGCGTTCCTCCGGTGCTTTCAGTTCCTTGTCCATGGCTTCACGCCATTTTTCCCTATGCTCCCCCCCCAGAGCCTGCTGAACTGTGGCAGGCTCCTTAGGAATCGCCGTGCCGTGGACCGTGGTGACGAGGCCGAGTATCTGGAGGCCACTCTGTGTGTAGCGGGGTAGAGTTGTGTCCGTGGGATAAGCTGCTTCGTCACCTGTTTCTGGGTCAGGTATGAAGTTGGGCCCTATGCGTTCTGCTTCGTTGGTGTTGACTTCTGCGGGTGTAACGTAACCGTTGTCGGCGAAGTGGTAAAATACGTCGGCGTTGGCGCTTTCGCGAGGATTTTCGTCATCCATTGGGACATTGACGGAGCAGTAAGGGAGAGGTCCGGCTTCCTCCGAGGCTTCATCCACATTCTGCTCGTCCCAGTCACTTCGTCTGCTGCCGAGGCAAAGGCTCGGTCACCACGGAAGCCACCTGTGGGGTCCTGATCTTCTTCCAGGTTGGCAAGATACGTCGGAAGGGTGAGTCGTTCGTAGAAAATGACATCACGTGCTGCTACTGTTTCTTTGGAGTGGACGTCGAAAATCTTCCACGCGTTGTAATGTCTTTCGATGCCCAGGTGTAGTCCCCACTGTGCCCGTTGAGAAAATCGGTCGGCTCGTGCAGATGGGGGTCGGTACTGTACCATGCAGCCGAAAACTCTTAACATTTTTGTGCTGCCCTGTTTTCCTGTCCACAGCAGGTGCGGTGATGCGTTGTTTGGTAGTGATGACGACGAAAGCAAGTTGTGCAGCATGACAGCGTGGTCCATCGCCTCAGGCCATTGGTGATTGGGCAGTCGCATGCCATGCAGTAATTTGCGCATGGTGTTCTGGAGAGTTCGATTCATCCGTTCTGCCACGCCTTGCTGTTGATGGGCGTAGGGAAGCGAGATGAGCCTCTTGATTCCTCTTTCTGCCAAGTACTTCTTGAACCTCTGTGAGGTGTATTCTCCTCCTCCGTCTGTCTGGAAGCTTTTTAGTTTCACGCCTGATTCTCGTTCTGCTATTGGGAGCCAAGCGACGAAGGCCTCGAAAGCCATGTCCTTGCTCAGAAGGTTAAGGTGCCAAACGTAACGCGTAGCGGCATCGATGAACGTGATGGTGTAGCTGTATGCTCCTTGTCGAGGTTCGCGATTGTACAGGATGTCGCTGTACACTTTCTCAAGTGGTGCGTAAGTTGGTGCGCTGGGGTTGTGGTGAGAAGTGAATGGCCGATGTGGTAAGTCAGCTTCGGGGCAGGTAAAGCACGTTCCACGCGCTCGTCGAAGTTCGCTTCCATCGGTTAGGAGTAGCGAATCTTTGTCGAGTACTCCTGCTCTGATTGTGTTGTTTAACACCGTGTTGCTTGGATGTCCCATTCGTGCGTGCCAGATGTCTTTGCTAGTGCGATGTCCGGGTGAACGATGGTACAAGTCGGAGTTGGAGTAGAAGCTTGCGGTGAAGTTTGCGCTTCGATGTACTTCTCGTGATGTTGGGTTAAGCTGCTGCGCAGGAGTCGGTGGA